CCTGAAAATTTAAAGGCTAACGTTATAGAAACAAGTGACAAGTAAAAAACTGCAAACAGTGGTAAAAATAAAGGTTGGTAGAAAGGTATGAAAGCAAACAACTCTAAAAGCTTCAAGGCGAACAGAAACTAAAAATCAGGGAAAGGAGGAGGCTGTTATGTCTGTGGCAAACATGGCCATCGTGCAGCGCAGTGCTACCATAAAAAAGGCGGATCTGATCAAAAAGGGAACCAAGGAGGACCAAAATGCCAAGCAAATGTGGTGGAAGATTCTGAAGTTGTGGCAGCAGTTGTAACGCTAGAAGCCAACATTATAGAAGCCATTTCTGTTCAAAACAAGAGTCTTTTCAAGAGTTTTCAAGCAATTGCTCGAGGGCAAGGTGAACAAGTTTTTATGGGCAATGATAGCATGGCCGAGGTAAGAGGTAGTGGTACCATAGAAATAAAACTATGTTCAAGAAAAAAAATTGTTTTTAAACAATGTAATGTACGTTCCCTCTCTACGAAGGAACTTAGTCTCGGGGCCTTTATTAGTGAGAGCCGGGATTAAGTTAGTGTTTGAATCTGATAGAATGATAATGAATCGTAGGGGGGATTATCTCGGGAAAGGTTACATGCGTGGGGAGCTTTTTGTGTTACCTTTCATTTCAATCCAAAACAATGCAATCAACATGAATAATGTGGCCAGTGGCACTAGCAGTTCTGCTTATATTGCTATTTCGTTTGACATGTGGCATGCTAGATTAGGACACATTGGTGTTAAATGCATGAATAGACTAAAGAACATGAACTTGCTAGCTAATGTAACAAATGACACTATAACACAATGTGAGACTTGTGCTAAAGCAAAGTTCATTAAGAAACGTTTACTTTAGTTAAGCATAAAACAACATGTGCTTTAGAGTTAATTCATTCTGTCTTAGCAGACTTTAGAAACACAGAATCTAAAGGTGGAAAAAGGTATTACATATCCTTTATTGATGATTTTACTCGCTTTTGTAAAATATATCTGCTAAGAACTAAGGATGAAGCCGAAGATAAATTTGTGATTTTCAAAAATGAGGTAGAAAATCAACTAAGTATGAAAATAAAAATATTGCGTTCAGATAGGGGGGGGGGGGGGGTGAATATGAATCTGCATCCTTTAAGTCATTATGTGAAAAACATGGAATTATCCATGAAGTGACAACACCTTACACCCCTCAATAGAATGGCGTAGCCGAGAGAAAAAATCGAACTCTCAAAGAAATGATAAACGCCTTTTTGTTATGTTCGGGAGCTCCCAATACACTTTGGGGAGAAGCTGCACTTACAGCAAATCATATCCTGAATAGAATACCCCACAAGGGGTACGATAACACACCTTATGAGATGTGGAAAGGATACTCCCAAAATCTGAAATACTTCAGAGTGTGGGGGTGCCTAGCAAAAGTTGGGCTTCCCTCGTTCAAAAGACCTAACCTTGGGTCTAAGACTGTGGATGCAGTCTTTGTTGGGTATGCAGAAAAAAGTGCAGCCTACTGGTTCATGCTATTAGAAAACCGGTCCATATGTGAAGCCAGAGAAGCTGAGTTCTTTGAAACCATCTTCCCCTTAAAAACCCCTAATAGGACCGAATCGGTTCCGCTTCCATACTCACAAATTGAGAGTGAGCCTGAACAACTCAGGAGAAGCAAGAGACAACGAACTCAAACAACCTTTGGTTCAAACTTTATAACATATATATCTGAGCTAGAAGACTTAAATGAACTTTCTGAACAGTTCGTATGTCAACTAGTCTTAGAAGAGGAACCAAAGACTTTCGATGCGGCTATGGGCTCAGTTGATGCGGTGTTCTGGAAAGAAGCCGTTCAAAGTGAACTAGACTCAATAAAGTCTAATCACACGTGGGAAATAGTAGAACTTCCCAAAGGGGCCAAGCCTATTGGGTGCAAGTGGATATTCAAAAGAAAACTTAGACCCGATGGGTCAATAGAAAGATTTAAGGCGAGGTTAGTAGCCAAAGGCTATAGACAAAAGTTTGGGGAAGACTACTTCTGTACTTACTCGCCTGTGACAAAAATAGCAACAATAAGAGTGCTATTTGCATTAGCCACAGCGCACAAGTGGACAGTCCATCAAATGGATGTCAAAACGACCTTCCTAAATGGAGACCTAGAGGAACAAATCTACATGGACCAACCTCCTGGGTGTGTAAAACCTAGACAAGAAGGGAAGGTCTGTAGACTAGTGAAGTCTCTATACGGGCTAAAACAAGCTCCAAAACAGTGGTATGAAAAATTTCATAAAACACTGTTGGATCTGGGTTACGTGGTAAACAGATCAGATGCTTGTCTATACTCAAAAGAAGTTGAGTCAAGCATAGTGCTCATCTGCATCTATGTAGATGACATGCTAATCTTTAGTCCTAATGTCAAAGCAATAATAGAGACCAAAAGGTCTCTTTCTGAAAGATCTGACATGAAAGACTTGGGGAAGGCCGATGTGATACTTCGAGTAAAAGTCATTCAAAGTGAAAATGACTACAAGTTGTCACAAAGTCACTATACAGAAAAACTGTTAAGGAAATTTGACAGTTATGAAGTGACCTCGGCTCCAACTCCGTATGATTCTAGTGTCAAATTGAAAAAACACACTGGAGCAGGAGTGGCGCAAGAGGACTATGCGAAATTAATAGGGAGTCTGATGTTCCTAATGAGCTATACCAGACCCAATATCGCTCTTGCAGTCAACAGACTCAGTCGTTACACTCATAATCCAAGTGAGGTCCACTGGCATGCATTAAAACGTGTACTACGTTATCTGAGAGGCACCATCGAGTGGGGCCTGCAGTACACTGGTTTTCCAAATATCCTAGAGGGATATTACGATGCAAACTGGGTCAATGACAGTGATGATGCGAGCTCCACCAGTGGGTACGTATTTACCATGGGCGAAGCAGCTGTGTCGTGGAAATCGACGAAATAATCGTGCACCGCCAGATCAACAATGGAGGCTGAGTTCATAGCTCTTGATCTGGCTGGGCAAGAAGCTGAATGGCTGAGAAACCTACTGGCAGACGTGCCGTTGTGGGGGAATTCTACTCCATCAGTGCCCTTTCATTATGACTCACAAACTGCCATATGTGTAACAAAAAATAGTTCCTACAATGGAAAAAGATGACACATAAGAGTCAGACACGAGTCTGTAAGGCAGTTAATTGTGAACGGAGTACTCAACACTAGAGTATGTGAAGTCCGAGAAGAATATTGCAGATCCTCTAACAAAAGGACTAAATCGGAAAGCTATCCTTGATACATCAAAGGAAATGGGCTTAAAATATGAAGTAAGGAATTCAAGGTGGACACCACTGTAGTGGTCAAACGAAGCCATGAAAAGACTTACGTAAAAAAGTTGAAGGGTATACTAAAGTACTGATATGTGAACCAGAGTTCAAAACTACCCACTTCTCAAAGAATTCAAGACTTAGTTCACTCCTGAGAAGTAAGTTACTCAGGTCACTACGTGCCAGTTCAAGGTTACACACTGGCATTAAGGTCCGTCTAGGTGGTATACTCAAATGCCCTGTTTCCACACCCTTTGAATGTGTGGGGGATTGTTGGAAATAACATTCAAAGGGTGTAGTGCTTTGCCTTGCTACTTGTCCCACATTGGTTTCCTAGAGACTCTTTTCCCATCATTTAAATGCCACTCCTTTTGGAGTCTTTGAAATGTTTCCAAGGGAGGGAAAGTGGGGGGATTCCCGCGCGCGCCGCCGCCCGCCCGCTCAGCTCGGTTCGCACGCGGTGTGGTGTGGTCGAAGTTTTACGTGGCATTATAATTTTGTCTGATTTTTTAGCTATTTTTTCACATACAGAATAATTCTATGTGGTCAGAATTAAGCTTGTGGACAAGAGGAAAGCTAGTGCTTTAGTGGGCACATATGAACGCAAATTGCGTTCCCTCTCTCCCTTTTCTCGACTTTTTGTGGCTGGTACAGGGGAGGCAGGTATTCTCACTACTATAAATACCTGTCTTCCCAGACCTGTTTCTTTACACCTGAAAGATAAGCTCTCAAGCTCTATAAATACCGTGAGTACGTATCTCTATAAGTGCAACAGAGTGCGTGAGTACTTCTGTGTGAGGCAGTCGAAAGCTCCCGGGTTAAGACCGCACAGTCTCCGGATATAAGCTTTTAAGGCAGTGTCCTGCACACGTCACAGAAATTATCGTACATATATCCCAGCCTATGTCAATCGTAGTCCATATAAACCTACGACATTTTTCTAAAAAATACAACAATTACTGCATAACCTCAATCTTTTGGAAGTATTGCAATGCTGCCTACCAGCCTTTCAAGCTTGACTCTTCTCCAATATCTACATATATACAATATATTTTTGTCCTAAGTTTGTGTCTCTTCAACAAAGCATGAAAAATTTTAAAGTTTTGTCAATAAGGTACGGGTCCCCAGAACTGCAAATTAGCTCGCATCCCAATTTGATAAGGCCCATTTTCTCTCTCTTCAACGCTTTGAAATGCATTACACTTTAGGTGCTTGTATTGTGAACCTTTCATTTTCTCTGTGAAATCGGCTTTCACTTTGAAGATTCATTGACCCCTCAACAGCAACCCATTCAAGCTCGAAACGCTTATAGGAATGACCATGGTTGGGATCGAGGTAGTTTTGGGGGTTAATCAGATTTGATAGTCGATTCGCTATTTTCTTCTTTGTTAAATCCTAGCCGACCACGGTTATCGCTGGTGGCCATGGAGTATTGGAGTCGAGAATTGAAAGAGAGACAAACAATAGAATGACAACGTATTAGGTCTTAATTTTATGGATAACTAGTAGTTGCGCCCATGCGATGCACGGCCATGTTATTATGCCGAAATATATTAAAAATTGTTTTATTCATGATATATATGGTCAATAAGGTTATAGACGTCACAAATACACAAAATAAAATATTTCATTGTAAAACAATGAAACAACAATTACAAATTATTAAAGATTTCTTTCTAAACTACATTTTCAGTCTTATTTAAAAGACCTCTAGACTCCCCACATATTAAGACCTTAAGACCATCTGGATTACTGACCCGAGAAACTACAACATACAATTGGCCATGTTTAAAAATAGGTTTTTTCAGTAACAAACCAACATGTGAAAGCGTCTGACCTTGACTTTTGTTGATTGTCATTGCATATGATAACATCAGTGGGAACTGCTTTCTTTGAAACTTGAATGGAAGTCTTGGGTCTGAAGGAGTCAAAGATAGTCTTGGTATCAAAACCTTGGTACCTGCGTTATTCCCAGCTATGATTTGTCCCTCAATAACATGATTTCCCAATTGTGTTACTATTAACCTTGTACCATTGCACAACCCCATCGAGTGATCTATATTTCTCAACAGCATAACCGGAGTTCCAACTTTCAGCGTTAGAGAGTGGTTTGGTACACCTGAACACCTCAAGCTATTTAAAAATTCTATTGTGTGTACTTGAGATTGCATATCCAAGTTTGACTCTGCCTTGCAAACAGAATCACAACTCCAGTATGTCATTGAAGCATCTTGATTAATACCATTCATGTATTCATTGACCTCATCAACAACATCTAATGTTGGAGCTAATATAGCTCTATTCTCCAGTTGTCTTTCATCTATGTTCCCAGAACGGTATTCAGGAAATGTGCTTTCAACAATTTGTCTAATAGGATCAACCTCGTTTTCTAATACAATTGAAGACGGTATCATTATATTGCAATCAACACCATTGTCTTCACCAAGATTACCATCACCTAAATCCGCAATCCATTTGGCAAAACTATCTAACTTCTCAACATCGTCTTCATTAGTAAGACCTCGCAATCTTAAATTCTTGGTTAGATGAAGAACTTCACAATTATTCCACAGGTAAGATGAATTAATACTGGCTTGCACTATATCTTGTCTAGTACCTTTTGGAATAATGGGTAGAATTTGTCTAAAGTCTCCACCCAACACCACTGTTTTCCCGCCAAATGTCATTGTTGAGCTCCTTGAATTCTTGAAACGCATTAAATCTCTCATTGTTCGGTCCAATACTTCAAAACAATGTTTGTGCATCATCGGAGCTTCATCCCAAATTATTAATTTGCATTTGATTATCAATTCAGCAAGTGGACTGCCTTGCTTGATGTTGCAAGTGGAATCTTCATTAACAGCAATTGGTATAGCAAACCTGGAGTTTGCAGTCCTACCACCAGGTAGCAGCAATGAAGCTATACCGCTTGATGCTACATTTAGAACTATCTCGCCCTTGGACCGTACAGCTGCTGAAATTGTCTTCCACAAAAATGTTTTTCCTGTCCCACCATAACCATAAACGAAATACATTCCACCTTTCTCAATTTCAACATCTGCCATCACCTTATTGTATATGACTAACTGCTCATCAGTTAGTTTCGGATGCAACGAATTATGTTGATGCAATAGAGCTTCCGTATCATATGACATCTCCTCGAACAACAACCTGTTACCAGAAAACCAATCGTTGTTTTCATCTGGCATTGGCATAGGTGGATAATCTGATAAAGATTTGTTCCAAGCATTTAAAAACTTCTCCATTTCAAGCAACGCAATTTTTTTTTTTTTTTGAGATTCATTTAGACTTAAATCTACAAAATAAGAATAAAAAAACGTAAGATGTAATGGTTTAAAAAATTGATATGAAAAATAAATAATATAACAATAAATGTTACCTGAGACTGAGAGGTTCCTTCTAGAAATATATTGAGCATCATCTGATAAGTATTGCCAAACCATCTCCCAAACATTTTCTGGCTTGGACATTGAATTGTATGTCAAAAGTGTAACAAACAACTTACGTAGCGAATGGGCTAAAGACCAAGTTGCTGCCTCAGTGATTGCATCAACATACTCTTTATCATCTTCGATTAATCCGTGTGCATAACATGCATCTCTAAATGAATTGTATTGAACACTATCTACTTGTTTAATCTCATCAAATGAAGTCAGTCCACGAACTATATTAAGTAAACATATAAGATAAAAAATCTCACCAGTATTTGGTGGCACATAAAAGATTCGACCAATTGCCCAATTTCTTTGCCTAGGTTGCCATTCTCTTTTATCATTCTTCCAAACAAATTTGGTTGGCATCTGTGAATAAGTCAACTGTCTTCCTGCCGCATATTTTTTATTAGCGTCAAACCAGGCCGTAAACATGCTTTGAGCTACTGTCGGTCGATTTACAACATCATTGACCAAATCGTCGTCATGAAATATTATTGATTGCTCATTGGGGAGATGAAAACTCAAGCGCTCAACAGATGGATTCCTGAATTGTATGCCAAACGCAAAAGTCCTCCACGCGGCCTCAGGGGGTGAAATATATCTACAGTCATAGTATGTGACACCCCAAAAATCCACACTCCAAACCATGAATTAATTGAGTAATTAATTCTATTTCTTTTGAGGAATCGATTCCTAAAATCCTGATTTTTGATACTCAAGGACTAGTATTTGACTAGTCAATCTTTAAGTGGTGTTGTACCTTGTGCTTTGAGAGGAGTTCCCTTGTACCTTACACTTTCTAAGAGTTAGTAAGGGTATCCTTGTCTTTTCACCAAGAGCTTGTTTTGTAACCTAAACCTAGAAGACTTCTTCATTTCATTCCCTTACATTTCCTAGAAAATATCTCTACCTTCTCTCTAGAAAACAAGAGTAGCTTGTTCTTCAAGCCAAAAGAAGCCTTTGTCAAGATTCCAAGTTTTGCTTCCAAGATTCAATCTTTCCTCTATTTTGGCATCTAGAAGGGTAAGATCTAAGCTTGTCTAGTCTTTTTGGTTCCATCTTAGTTGTCTTTTCTTAAAGGTTGGATCTTTATGATCTTTTGGTTTGATCTTGAAGTGGGTTTGGCTAGTGAGCTTAGTGGAGAGCTTGTTGTGGTGTAAGAAGAGTCTTTTGGTCTTCAAGAGGTAACCCATGCTCTACAAAACCTATTTTGCTTACCTATATATGATTTCTTTGCTTCTACTTGTGTTTTGCTATGAAATGTGAGAGTTTATGCATTTATCTTGTGATATTGCATATCTAGAGCTTGTGATTAGGTTTCCTTTGTGCCATTGCTTGACATTTTCCTTGGTTCAAGCCATTTTGTTGTGCTTGGTGAGATTTGGCATGTTTTGGACTTGAATTTGTGTTTGAAGGAGAAAATCCCCGAAGGGATTATTTGACACAGGAGCGTGTACCCGCGGGCGGAACGGCGGGGAGAGCCCTACCCCGCCGCCCACCCGCCGGTACACGGGAATGTGGGTGTTGTACCCGCGGGCAGAACCACGGGTAGGGGCCTACCCGTGGGACCACCCGCGGGGAACACAGTGATGTTGGAGTGGGATTTGTTCCCCGTGTTTCGTTTGTCTTGGTCTTTGATCTTTTGGCCTCCCGTTGTTCTTTTGTGGAACTATTTGAGCGTCTTCTTGATGTTTCGTAGGTCTAGAGCTTTTGGTAGGTATCTATGTAGGATCTTTGGTGTTGTGTATCGTGCTAAGTGTTCAACATTGTGTTTCGTTGAACCGTGTGGTGTCTTGTGTGTTCCTCGGAACTATCTTGAGTTTCTTCGTTGTTGAGCTTGCTAGTTATTATCCTAATGCTAGCGTCGTTGTTGTCGATGGGTGGTGACCTGTCTCTTGATTGAGTATCTTTCGTACCTCTGTTGCAATCCGTTGCTTGTTTCGTGTGAGTGGTGGTGCGTGTGTGGCTTTACCTGGATTGCACGATTAGTGGTATGGGACGCTAGTCACCAAGGTATTGCAACGGTCCTCGTGGTGGCCATGACGTGATTTCATGGAGTTGTGGCTGAGTCCACGTGTTTGGGGGATAACATTGTGTTATCCGGGCATGTGTTGCCGTGAATTGGTGGGTTTTCGTTGGTGGTTATAGGTGGGGGACGACGGTCCCGGAGGAATAAGGTTGGACTTGGCTGTACAGGGGCTTTCTGGAGGTAATGGTTGGCACCGAAGGTACAAGGTTGGGGGTAGCCATAAGGTTGGAACAGGGCATAAGGAAGGCATATCAACTCGTGATGGGTGATGTCACGAGGGCTTGTGAAGCCGTTGTTGTGGTGAGTTCTCTTCTCTCGTGACGTGTGTAGTCGCGGAGGCTTGTGGTGTGTTTTGGCATGTGTTGGCGTTGGGTGAGTCTTTATCCTTGTGTGTGGTTAACCTTTGTGGTTTGGGATGTGTTCCCGGTTTTGTCCTTGTGAGTGGTGAGTCTTGTGTTGTCTTTTGATCTTGGCGTTTGACTTATATATATGTATTCCGTTTCAAAAATGATTTTCATATTATATATCTACCTATTTATGATACTTAACGGTATTGGTGGGTTACCAGCATCTCTCGCTGACCGGGCGACGCCCCGATGTTTATCTTTGTATCTTTCAGGTGATGCGTAGTCGAGCGCGATGTCTAGAGCTGGTAAAAGTGGTAATTACTAAACCCTTACGTTCTCATGTGTAAAAATATATTCCTAATCTCTTCTAGGGTATTACGTATATATATATATATATATATATATATATATATATATATTCCTAAACCCAATACTAATTCCTAAATGAATTTAATAACTAGTTCCTAAACCTAGTTAAACCACACGCTGCTTCTATTAAAAAAAAAAGGGGAGAAAACTTGGTCGTCATCATCATCTTCACAGCCGACGCCATAAACTCTTCTATTTTCTCAATTCGTCGTCAGTAGCAAAATTTATTCTTCTCTGCAATTCATTGGAATCCAGATAAGATTTATGTTCACTCAAAATCTTTTACCCCAAATCAAAAACTGATTTTACTAAGTGTTTATGTGTAAAATCTCTCAAAGATTGTTCTCTTAATATTTTTGAATAATTGCTATGTGCCTTTGATTTTCGTAGAATTGGTGGCAAATACTTGAAATTATATGCTGTGAAATTTCCTATGTATGATCATATGTTATTAGCAGTTTCGAAATATCATATTTAGGCACATGAAATTTGGGTATATTTGCTATAATTATTGCATTCAGGTGAGTACGTGATTATGTGTTCGTATGTTGGCCGCAGTGTATATAATTGTGTTTCTGTATCTATATATAAAAGATTTGTATGTTTTGCATTCTGTACTTAAATATATGTTTATGTGCAATTAGTACTTTGGTGCTATAATTCAATAACATTTATTATTATATGATATACAGTATGGATATTTGATACATTATATTTAGTACGGTAATTAGGTGTAAATCACTTATATGTGGAATTTGGAGTAAATATTTGATACATGGTATGCTAAGTGATGTATATGGAGAATGTTAAATGGTGTGTACATTTGAATAAGTGTGGCAGTGTCTTATATTACACATATATTTGATTATGGTGGAGAGAACAAACTATTTGGTATAAAACTTACATTTAATTAAATTTGGTCATGGAGGATTTGTACCTGGATTTTTATTGTGAAGTTGGTCTCTCACATTTGATTATGAAACCAGTGTGGGGTTGGTCTCTCACATTTGATTCTGGAATATTATTATATACCTTGTGGGGTTGGTCTCTCACAATCAAGTTCGTTCTACCCATTGGGGTTGGTCTCTCAATGGGGGTATGCATACTTAAGGGATTGATCTCGTGCCAACTGGGTTGGTCTCTGGTTGGTTGGTTTTGGTCACTAGGGCCGAAGTAATGGTCCTTGCCTTGTATTTTTCCTCCTCATTGACTTGGTGGTTAATAAAGGATTAAATCCTAATGTTGAGAAAAGTGGTAAAATGTGGAAGTTGTGAAATTTTATGTGAAATTATAAATTATATTTATTATGTGGTTGATTTGTTAATTGGTAATTAAATGTGAAGAAGTGGTATTAGGGAATGTTGCGAGTATGACATGATTAAGGGGTTAATGTGGAATTATGTTCTCCAAGGTGTTATGTGTTATGTGAAAAATGTTTACAGGGTGGAGTAAGTCTTACCAGCTGTTGTATGCTGAATTTGTTCCCCCTTTAGTTATTTTGCAGGTAATGTGGCACGAGTATCTGGAGCATGAGAGCGAATCATCTGTTAGCGCTTCGAATATTTATTTTTATTAGCTAATTTAGAAGTTGTTTCTAGGCAATTGTAATATTACACTCAGTGAACTAGTATTAGTTTTGGGTTGGTTTTAGTAGTGTTGTTTTAGCCTGTGCGTCTGGATATAGGTTGTTATCTAAACGTGGCGGTAGCATCCCTTTTTCCTTTTGTTTTGTTTAGCTTCCGCAATTAAACAATGAAATTTTAATCAAATAAATGTCTTTTAATAAATTAATTTTGTTTTGGAAAATGGGGGTGTTACACAATGTCTTTAGATTATTCTAGTTTGGTTGTTTTTGGGATAGTGTTACACTTGCAGATTGTCGCCGTAGCGTATACCTAGTGTGGTATACGTGGCATAACACCCCGTTTTGGATTCCTTTTATCCAATTATCTTTTTTATCTTCCGCTGTGCTAGTTTTGTGCTTGATCTGCAGGTGTTAAGACTCGTTTTAAGTAGTCTTGTTTTGGGGGGTGTTACATAGTACATCTTGATTTCATCTATAATCT